TGCTACGCACATTCCAGGGCTTGATCTTTGCCGTTCGAAGCGTTCTGATCTCCATCAGAAAAAATCTGTTAACATTTGGTCAGCTACGATTTCAAGTTCACGCCCCCTCATGTGGGCCTATAATGAAATTATGCCCTCAAAAACACGGTTTTTGGATCTTTTCTCAAGATAATGACTATCTAGGCAAAAAACAGAAGTGGAATCAGTCAATTCAACTATTCACGGACTGTATTATATGGTTGAGATTGAATTCTATTGAAAAAACCACCGTACTTTTTGAGTTGAATGTACGCTATTGGATGCATTTTACAAGAAAAAATGCATGACATAACCGGGGTCAAGCGAGAAAATCGTCTCTCCCTGAAATAAAAGAGAACCTGTCAAAAAAATAAAAATCAGAAGTGGATTTGAAAACCCCGGACTGAACATTTTGGTATATAATTAATAGGAATTTGTTAAAATTTAAAACCGTATTTTTGCTGATTTTATAAGCTCATACTATCTGTTGGCCTATACATTCGCCTCTTATGGTGTCTTAGGTTTCGTAGCCTCGAAAACACGCTGACTACGGTAGTTAGCGAAAGAACAGAAGATTTACKGGTCATTTAGGATGTTTTGTCACGCAGTTTACTTGTGCTATATAACTTTACTTTTAAGAACAACCTTTTGCTTTGGAAAGAGAGGAAAAAGACCGAAAAGTGCAAATATTCCAAAGTGTATGGGCAATATTTTCCAATGTTTAATTTTTCTTCAAAAATATGGTGAATCAATTAAAAAATATCGATAAATCATAAAATGTAAAGCAATTCTGAGAAAGGTCTTGATCAAATATTAGCGTATTTTTCGACGTTTACAAATATTAAGATTGGAAATCTTAATTTATTGAGTTTAAGGTTATTACTTTACAGACGGAAAATCAATGCTAGTCGCCACAAGAACAGTGTCAGTATCATTTCTGTTCCATTATTAACAGCAATTAGCTGAGCAACGGGGACTCTATTCTATTCTAGATTAAAGTTCTTAAAAAAAAAGTCTTTTGAAGGCTTTTCTGTCTTTCGTTAATCTTCTGGCCTGATCTTTATCAATGCTTAATAATTTTTCGATCTTTATCCATGGATCTCTGACATATTTTTTGGTTGGTTTGATGAAAAGTAATTTTTTCGTATTGGAGTTCGGCCGTCTACATATGTGTGCGATACATTTTAAATGTCGAACATATAAGAAATCCCGTAGTGGTGGAGTCCCAATAATCCGTTCAACATCAGTATTTTTGTATTTGAGTGCAAAAGTTTCTTCACCATCACTATCTGTTTTTTTCTTCTAGCCATTTTTTATCATCCTTCTTAGAAGGCCGTACCAGCATGTTTCGCAGAGTTTTTTCAGTTTTTCCTCATTCGGTAATTGTGCTTCTGAGCAATAAAGAAGTCTAGATCTAATACAGGATTCTAATATTTTCTTTCTACTTTTCATGGACACTTTATTGTCTGTGAGAATATTCTTTAGATCGTGAAATTTACCAGTTGCACTGATAATTCTGTTGTCAACCAAAGAATCTTTTGGGTCGCTGTAAAACATATGCCCCAGATATTTAAATTCCTTAACATTCTCAATATCGTTCGCAGAAATGTTCAGTAGACTTCTTTTGTTTATGAGTTCTAAGTCATTGAAAACTTGTATTTTTGTTTTCTTGAAGCTAATCTGTAGACCATACCTAGAACAAGTTGTGTATACAATATCCAATATATCATGTAAGTTAGAAAGATCCTTTGAGAAAATTGCAACATCGTCTGCATATAGTAGCCATTTAATCATTTCAGTTCCATTCATGCGCCCAGTGTTTCGTTGATGGCAATCTTTCTCCTTTTTATCAAACATTTTTAGTATACGATTACGAACCACTGCCCTGGAATATTTGGCAATTTTTTCATCATTAAAAAAGCTAGATTGCAAGCGCCATGACGACACTTTTTAAGGGTAATACCACTGATCGCTCGTCCCAGTCTCCATTCCCCATTCCCCATTCCCTGTTTTAGTAACGTCCCCGAACTAGAAATATTAATTTACTGAAATGTAATCAAGGATTTCTAGCTGGTGAGGACCTCGAATAAACGAAAATTTCTAAGAATTTTCAAAATTCGATGGCAATAGATTATTTTGGTTAACTATCCATGCTTTGATTCATTATTCAAAGCAGTATTTTGGAAGAAGCTACAAGCCTTGCTTCGGGGGGATCGTGTTTTATTTCAAATTTCCACCTGCTGTTGAACTGATACGGATCGTCAGTGTGTCTCACGATCCGTACGATTCGTGAAAGTCATTGATAGTCATAAAACATGCATATCATTAACCACTTAAGCTTTCACGGTAACCCTGTGTGAAGTGTTTTTATCACCGTTTGTGTAAAATGGTTATGGTCACCCCATGTGTGGTAGTTCCAAAGATGCCATGCCTGGGGCCCCTCACCATTCGTGCCATCCATACGGATGGTACCGACCGCGTGCATGTAATTATCCGATCCGTTCATACGATTCGTAATTTCACGTCAAAATCACCATCAAATCCTATATGAATTGCTGCGTTATCAAAAGCCAATGGATCATAATAAACCAGGCTCGAAAATCAAGTCAAAATCATAATCAAATGCGATATGAATCACGCTGTTATCAAAAGCCAATAGAGCAAAATAAACCACGAGCGAAAGTCAAGTCAAATTCACCGTCAAGTCCTTTAAAAAATGCGCCGTTTTCAAAAGCCAATAGATCATAATAAACCACGCCGTCGAAAATCAGGTCAAAATCACTATCAAATACTTCATAAAAAAATCACAAAATCCTATAAGAATTACGCTGTTATCAAAAGCCAATGCATCGTAATAAACCACGCTCGAAAATAACGTAAAAATCCCAATAAAATTCTATAGGAATTATAGTCTGTTATCGAAAGCCAACATCGTTATTACTGAAAAATCACGTCAAAAGCACAATAAAATCTTATAAGAATTACGCTGTTACCAAAAGCCAATGAATCGTTATAAACCACGAACGGATCGAATCGTTATAAAACATGCTCGAAAATTACGTCAAATCACCATCAAATCCTATAGGAATGACCCTGTTATCAAAAGCTAATGGATCAAAATCACCATCAAATCCTTCATGAAAAAATTACAAAATCTTATGAGAATTACGCCGTTATCAAAAGCCAATGCATCGTAATAAACCACGTTCGAAAATAACGTAAAAATCCCAATAAAATTGAGAAGGGGTTAGCACGTACCACCTACATCTGGTGTCCCGCATCTCCTGGCCCCACACGCATCTGGTGGCCCCTTGACCATAACTCGAGATTGACGAAGCAAGCTATGGTAACGAAACTTGGTAGCATTGGTGAGACTGGTGTTGTCAATCATCAGACTACGTGACATGGCGTGACGTCACATATCACGTGACTTACGAACAAAACAGCTTCGCCGATTTTTGCGAACACTCATTACAATGAATGCTATGGTAACGATACTTAGTACGATGGGTGAGACTTGTGTTGTCAGTCATCTGACCACGTGACAAGGCGTGACGTCACATACCACGCGACTTACGAACAAAACATCGCCGATTTTCGCCAAAAGTCATAACAATAAATGCTATGGTAACGAAACTTGGTAAATATAAAAAAGAAATAGCTTATTTATTCCATTGTATGTATTTGTTGAAATTAATGATGACCACTTTCAGGTTATGATTTTTCTATGTACACTTATCGTAACAATTCCTTCTGTCTAACACCCTCACGATGAAGAATAGCTAGGTTAAAGCTATAGTAGAATGACCCAGCACCCACTTGTGACAAGATGATACAAAAAGGGCTGAAATAGTTTCATATTGAAAACTTATTTAAAGTTTTATTATGAAAATTGGTAAACCCAAACCTAGTTTTTGAATCAACAAGATTGGCAGAAACAGGAAAAAATGTCACTATTAATATTTTCTGACATTTCAGATCTAGTATGTCACTCAAAAATAATBCAATAAACAAACTTTAGATTTAGATTTGGGAAAAACACCAGAACAACAAAGTCAGTTTTGATATTTTGTAGAAAAATGTTTGTCGAACCACGCTATAGAATATAACGTTGACCCTCATGATTGTCCAAGCGCGTTATAGATTGTCAATGATTATGCTAATAGCACTAATGAATTTTCACTTTTGGGTAAATGATTGTCCATAAATGCAATTGTCTGTCATTTGGTGTTATTGAAGTTGAGTTTCGCGCACAAGAAAATACATTCCGCGCATATGAATGTACGAACGCGCTAATGATTGTACATTGATGCCAATAAATGTACACGCATATTCAATTGTCGTTATCGAAAGCTGATCCGCGCTAATGCTGTTACTTGTGGTGTTGATGAAAGTACATTACATGTTATTGATACAACTATTGGCACAAATGAATGTACATTTTCTGTTAATGAACGGCAAAAGGTGTACGTTGCAATGCTTGCAGCAGTGTAGTTGTGTGCGTTTATGCCCTTACGCAATTCCTTGTCGCCTTGCTTCGGCTCATTCGTTCATCTGGCGTTGAATATCTGGACGGGTTATGTCTGCTTTTATCGACGCTTTTAATGCACTAATTGTCTTGTAACTGGCCACGGCGGTATACAAATAAACTTTATTATAACTAGAGGCTGAGTACAACTCCTTCGAGGTAATTTACTTTCTAAAGAAGCTTTATAAACATAAAAAGGGGGACTATGAAACCTCTAAGAATACCCCAAAAGGTAAAAACTCAGTGGCCTCGTGGCCGCCGTGCCAGAGAATGACTCCGCGCATGCGCACCACAGACCACAGGGAACCCAAACTACCATAGGGACCCCAATGCAGTTACATGGCTCCCCAAAATGTTATCCTGTGATAACATTTTCCTTAATTAACAATATCAACTATAACAATCTCAACAATGTTCTACAGTTCTTCTATGTGTCCGTCATAATCAACGTTTTTTAACCGTTCTGGTTCCTCGTCGGGGAATCCCGGTCTCCCTGCGATTCTACAAGCAGAACAAGCTTGTTTATAGGTCTCTCCAACTTGGATCTGTTGGATGTCAGTACCGTGACTGATCGAACTTGACCTTGATCATCCGGATACACGTTCACGACTCTAGCCAACGACCATTTGTTTCTTGGGGACAAGGTTTCCTTTAGTAAGACTACATCTCCTGCTCTGAAGTTCCTTCTCGGTTGGGTCCATTTCGGTCTTGCTTGTAGCTGTTGCAAATATTCTTTGCTCCATCTCTGCCAAAATTCTTGTGCTAGATGTTGTGTTCTCCATTTCCTTTTGCAGTACAGATCTTCTCTTTTGAACTCTCCAGGTGCAGGTAACACGAGTCTTGTCTTCCCAGTGAGCAGCGTACTTGGAGAAATCGGCGGTTCGGACAGGGGGTCGCTGAGTGTCTCCACCGTCAAGGGTCTGCTATTCACGGTAGCCTCTGCTTCACATAGGAAAGTTCTCAGCGTTTCTTCATCAATGCGGGCAAAATGCTCTCTTAGAAGTCCGTTCATGACGTTTCTGATTGATCTAATTTGTCTTTCCCAGACACCTCCAAAGTTGCTTGCGGAAGCTGGATTCTTGACCCAATCTACGTTTTCCTTTAGTAGTTCTGCTTTCACTTTCTGGTCGTCCATCTCATCAATAGGTCTCTTAAGTTCAGCTTCAGCACCAACAAAGTTTGTACCTCTATCACAGCGAATTTCTCTGACAGGACCTCTTCTGCTGATGAACCTCCTTAATGCTTGTATGAATGAGTCCGTTTCCAGTGAATCAGCCACTTCGATATGCACAGCGCGACTTGCTAAACACGTGAGCAACGCGCCGTATCTCTTGACGGTGGATCTTCGTTGTTTGACGTACCACGGGCCGAAATAATCGACCGCGCAGTATGTAAACGGCGGGGCAGGTTCCAGGCGTGACTTAGGCAAATCCGCCATCTTCTGTTCTCCAGTGGTACCTCTGAGGTAACGACACTTGACGCACTTGGAAATGAACTGTCTTACCATGGCATTTCCATTTATGACCAGTAGCCACTTGCACGTAACTCATTGAGGGTGACTCCTCTACCGCTGTGATGAGTCCTTTCGTGAACGTGGTCGATCACCAGCTTCGTCACATGGCTCAATTTCGGCAAAATAATGGGATTCTTGAGTGATTCTGATAGATTTGCCTACCGAATTCTTACTCCAACCTTGATAATACCTTTCTCGTCCACGAAGGGGTCCAATGTGTGAAGAGAGCTCGTTTTCTTTAATGCGGCTTTCCTTTCTTTGTTTGTCTCGCGGCTGCTGTACTTTGGGCTGTTCTGGATGTCTCGGAGACTCTTTAGTTCAGATGGAAACGCAGCTTTCTGGATTTGTCTGATAATTTCTTCCTCAGCTTCTTCTAGATTTTTTACAGTCATTTCCGTTGTGGAGGACGCCCCGTTGTTTACAATCTCGTTTTCTTGTGAATTTTGGCTGCACTTGATTCTGTCTCTAAGCTTTCTTTTGTTCTTCAAACAAAGAGCTATAGCCTTCTTCGCCTTGTGCCAACTTGAGAATCTTTCTAATCTGCTGAGTATACTGCTAGGTTCTTCCTTGACTGTACTTGCGTTTACCCTGATGTTCTTTACTTCTGGTGAGTCTGGATCTACACCGTCCTCGAACGTTTCCTCTTTCAGCCACTTATCTTCCTCCTCTTTCAGGAATTCAGGTCCCTTGATCCACCTCGATTTCTCTATGAATTCTTTCGCTGACATTCCTCTTGAACCTTCGTCTGCTGGGTTTGATGTTGTTTAGACGTAGCGCCATTGTGAGGGATCGGTGTGATATTGAATTACTTGTGCCCGATTCGCTACGTAAGCATGAAATCTTCTGGATTCGTTGCTAATGTACCCGAGGACGACCTTGCTGTCTGTCCAATAATGATCTTCAATCTATACGTACTCAAGTTCTTCCTTTATGGCATCAGCAATCTTCACGGATAAGGTAGCTGCAGCTAGCTCCAGTCTCGGGATGCTCACAGACTTTCTTGGTGTTACTCGGGTCTTGCCCATGACAAAGAAACGTGTACTTTACCATTTTCATCCTTTAGACGTAGGTACGAGCACTGTCCGTATCCGTTCATCGAGGCATCGGACATATTATGAAGTTGAGATGAAGCATGTTCCCAAACTCTTCTGGCTTGAAGCTCCTTGGTAAGTCTAGGTGCTCGAGTAGATGAAGCTCACTCCGCCATTTCTCCCATCTGCTTCTCGTGGCGTCGTCAACTGGTTCGTCCCAGTCACTAGTATGACAGATGTCTTGTAAGATTCTTTTCCCGACCAGCACTACAGGCGCGATGAGACCCAAGGGATCGTAAACAGAGCTGATCGTGGAGAGGATCCCTCTCCGTGTACAGGGGTTGTCCTTCAGCTGAATTCGGAATTTAAAAACATCAGACTCGATGCACCAATGGACTCCTAATGCCCTCTCAATGGGCAACTTGTCTTGACCCAAAGCGAGGTTCTTTACTTTTTCAGCTCTATCTCCTTGCGGGATCGAGTCAATGATGCGTTCCGTGTTACCGACGAACTTGGTCAGATTGAATCCGCCTCTTGCGCAGACCTCCTTAACGTTCTTCGCTAGTTCAATAGCTTCGTCTTCCGTGTGTGCGGATTTAAGAACATCACCAACGTAGAAGTTCTTTCTTAGCGTGTCGGCAACTTCAGCACCGAACTTACACTCTTTGTCGTCTGCCGTGCGTCTAAGGGCATAATTAGCACAGGCAGGTGACGATCCCGCGCCGAATAAGTGTACTGTCATACAGTACTCTTCCGCTTCTTTCTCCGTGTCTCCGTCGGGCCACCATAGGAATCTGAGGAAACTTTGGTCTTCTCTTCTCACCTTCACTTGGAAGAACATCTTCTCGATGTCCACCATAAACGCGAATCTCTCTTGTCTGAATCTGGTCAAGACGCCAATTAACTTGCTGGTCAGAGATTGTCCTTCGTATCTAGCCGAACAATCAAACACGATACGCACCTTCGTTGGTTTTTGAGCATGGTACACACCATGGTGTGGCAGGTATCAGAATTTTCCCTCTTTGGTTTCAAGATTAGTGTCGACCTTGCGAGCGTAGCCTTTAAAGATGATCTCGGACATGAAGTTGCAGTAATCCGTGTGGTACTTGTTATCTGACTTTAGTCGCTTCTTCAGACTCTCCAAACGCTTCTCTGCTTGTACGCGGTTGTTTGGTAGCTTAATGTTCCGATCCTTCAGCGGAAGAGGCATCTCGTAGTGCGAGTCTTCAAGATGAACAATCCAGTCTTCAACTGTTTGATAAAACTTCCAATCTTCGCGTGACATAGCAGTTCCTTTCTGTTTCAGAGAAGTCCAACTCAAACATTCGTTCTACCGATTGTGGCGTTATCCGTTCCTTTACTGTCCTCTGTGCCACAACGTAACTTTTGGCGGTCGTAGATGCCATCTGCTTGTCCAGTAGAATTCTGTTACAGTGAAGACTGTTGCACTTCGAAGAATTGATAGGCCCGTTGATGTACCATCCCAGTAGTGAGCGTACAGCATATGGTTCGGTCTCCTTTCCGTAAACGACGTCTCTTGGTCGTAGCGCACTTGGACAGTTTAAACCAATTAAGAGTCCTACCTCTACTTCTTCCATGTAGGGTGGAATCTCCTTGCTCACTTCTCTTAGATGATCGATCTGGCCTACTATATCAGGTATTGGTATTTCACTGCGGTCTGCTGGAATGACCTGCATAGTGAAAGTTCTAGGTAATTCTAAGCTTACGTCTTCATTCATGAGGTTAGTCACAATTAATCCGTTAATCGCCTTCGATAACTCGGTTTCCGTTCCTTGTAATGTTGTCAGTAGAAGTTCAGTCTCGCTTCCTTCTATGCCCATCTTCTGTGCCAGCTCCTTTACAAACGTTCCACCGCTGGCATTGTCCAGCAGTGCATAGACCTTTAATCTGTTTGATGGATTGCTCTCATGAGACAACCATACCGGTAGCACACTCAGGTTCACGGGTATATCTCCAGCTTCCGTGACGCTACAGACATCCATACGTTTGTTACTAACTCGAGGGGTTTCTTTAGGTTGGCTCTTTTCGCTTTGGTTCTTTGTCTTACTTGTCCAGTCATCATCATGCATAGATGTTGGGTGCTTCTTGCTGCACGTTTTACATAACAGTCTATCTTTACAATTCTTTGCGACATGTTGGTTGCTAAAGCAACCATAACACAGTTCCTTTTCCTTCACAAAGTCACGTCGATCGCTAAGAGGTTTTTTCAAGAACTGTTCACAGTCGTTGAAATCATGATGCTTGTCGCAAAGGGCGCAAGAAACGTTCGGCTTATTGCTTATTATTCGTACTTGTTTCTCTCCGTCAGATTCGTCGCAAAACTTGAACCCTTTACTCTCTTAGGAGGTCTTCTTCCGAACGTCGGGCGAGTGGGTTTGTCTTTGTCTTCAAGAGGCAGCTTGGTTACACCTTCCTCTGAGAACACTGGGTCAGTGGCTAACTCTGCTTGCTCCCGCACAAATTGAGTAAATTCTTCAAAGTCGGCCATTCTTCCCTTCATACTTCTAGTTTTACTGTTCCTTTCGGCCCACTTGCTGCGCAGATGACGCGGTAGCTTTTCCCACGATTGGCGTAGTACTTGCGCAGTGTTGAGATCGTCCATGTGCGACATTCCCTTCATGGCCGATTTCGCTTGTTCTAGGGCAAGCGCAAAATCTTGAAGGGCGAGGCCTTCGTTCGGCTTGATCTGCGGCCAGGATGACAGCCTGTTAATGTGCGCGCTAGCAATTTTGAAGGGATCGCCAAATTGTCGCTGTAAGAGATTCTTTGCTTCATCGTACGCATCGTCGGTTTTCCTCTGCAGGCAACCGCTTATTACTTCCTTTGCCGTTCCGGTAGTGTATTGACCCAGGAAGTAAAGTCTTTCAACAGAGTCTTCCACCTTTGACTCAATTAATGATTCAAAGGGGGTTAAGAACGATGGAAATTCCATTGCGTCGCCGGAAAACGTGGGAGGCTTGTGCGTTGGCAACATGCTCCTTGCCTACTGGGCGGCGATAGTTTCGGACAATTCTGCTTGTTTCCTTTGTATGTCGACTATTTCTTGATATGTGTTGTTCTGTATGTACGGTGGATATGCGCTTAGCGTCATACTTGCTCCCATCATATCAAAGGGACGATGCTGTACGAGGGCTGACCAAAATTGTCAAACCCTTGACCTCCTAATACTGGAGGGATACCTTGAAGAGACGCTTGATATGCTATACCTTGTGCAGGGCTAGTGTGGAGGGGCGGCCTGTACGCAAATGATGAGCTTGCGCGGCTTCCATGTAACGTTCCCTGGCCCACCCCTAACTGTAAGCCCTTGGAGCTCATAGAAGCAGGTAAACTTGACACTACGGTGGTACTTGGAGACACACTCCCAACTGTTGCCTGGCTTACCCCTAATGGTACACTCTTGGGGGTTATGGGTGCACGTGGACTTGACATTATGTTTGAACCTGAGGACACGCCCTTAACTGTTGTCTGGCTTACCCCTAATGGCACATTCTTGGGGGTTATGGGTGCAGGTGAGCTTGAAACTACGGTTGTGCTTGAGGTACCACTAACCATTCCCTGCCTCGCCGAGGGCTCCGTACTTGTAGGGGTTGTATGACTGTGTGGCGGGTCATGTGCAACGCAGGTGTGAACAGGAAGACCAAGAGGTGCTCCTTGACTCTCTGTAGGCTTAGTGCTTGCCGAAGCTTCATGGTTGAGGGAACCACTGTCACCACTAGTTGGTATCACACTTATTGAGAGGCGCGGCAACCCACGCGCTAAAGTAGGGGTTGAGAACATATCATCTTCGTTTGCTTGCTCATAGATTTGTTCTTCCTTCTTCGCTTGAGCTAAGCCCTTTCTTTTAACTCTAGTTCTTCTGAAGCCATCTTAAGCGCTTGGGTTTCCTTCAAAAACGCCGCTTCGACCTCTAATGCTGCGATCTTAGCGCGTGCTTCGATTAACCTTGATTTCGAAGACATTGATGAGGAGACGGAATGCTTAGAACGCCCAGATTTTCTCGAGGAATGACGAGACCCCCTTGAAGTAGTGGAATTAATTTCAAATAACACACCTTTAGCCTTTGACATGTATTCACATACTGGTTGTTTAAACTTAAAGATAGCTCCATCGTGAGTGTCAAACCACGTAACAGCATCCTCGACCTCTTCGTCGTTTTCATGAGCATCTCGTAATTTAGAAATCAAACCGTTCTAAACTTCTGTCTCGCCTGACACAAACTCAAAATTATTAAAGTCATGAAGCAGTGGTCTAATTTTATTCATCTGTCTTGTCACTTGTCGTAAAGCCGATGTTCTATTCTCCTTCAAGTTCTCTAATTCATATTGTTTACCTTTTTTCGTCGACGTTTTCCTTCTCGCACCAACTCCAAGTTCTTCAGCATCCCTTTCCAAACCCTTTCCTTCCACATCCAGTGAACCTTGAACCTTTTCTGGATCGTGGCTGTTTGGTTTAGTCGCAGAGGCCGTTGTTGGAGTTCCCTTCGGTGGAGATTCCGTCGCCGAGTTGACATTTGACTCCGCAAAATGTGCCGTAGAATTTTTCTTTTCACCGTTAATAAATCCCTTTCTTTCGTCTTCCATGTCCGTAATTTTGTCCTTGTTTTCCTTGTAAATCCTTGTGAATCCTTGTTGTCCAGTCCAGTTGCCATAAAACAAAAATATCCTTGAGAAGTATTCCAATTTTGCCGTCGATTGTCGTTCGAAGAAATGTCTTGCTGAGATTTTTTACTCGCTGAGTTTGCTGGCTTGAGTTTTTACTGTAACTGGCCACGGCGGTATACAAATAAACTTTATTATAACTAGAGGCTGAGTACAACTCATTCGAGGTGATTTACTTTCTAAAGAAGCTTTATAAACATAAAAAGGGGGACTATGAAACCTCTAAAAATACCCCAAAAGGTAAAAACTCAGTGGCCTCGTGGCCGCCGTGCCAGAGAATGACTCCGCGCATGCGCACCACAGACCACAGGGAACCCAAACTACCACAGGGACCCCAATGCAGTTACATGCCTTTTCTATTTCTTGGTGGCATATCGTACAAAAAGTGACTGCTATCGCTAAATGTAGGTTGACTATTGCGTTCAATGGCTTCTTTATATCTTAAAGTTAAGGTTGTCGTTTTTTCACAGTACACGTAATTCAGCTCTTGTTCTATCTTATTTGTTTTGTGAATTATATTTTGGAGACAACTTTTTAAAAGAATGCTGAATAAAGAAAAACGCTGATGATTACTTTTTTTTATCTTGATGTTTATTTGAATCATGCAAATGTTTGTCGAACCATGCTAAACAATGCTTAATTGGTGCTCATGATTGTCCAAACGCGTTATAGATTGTCAATGGTTATGCTAATAGCACTAATGAATTTTCACTTTTAGGTAAATGATTGTCAATAAACACAACTGTTTGTCAATTCGTGTTATTGAAGTCTAATTGCGCGCACAAGAAAATACATTCCGCGCATATGAATGTACAAACGCGCTATTGATTGTCCATTGATGTCCATGAATGTACACGTATATTCAAATATAGTTATTGAAAGTTGATCCGCGCTAATGATGTTACTTATGGTGTTGATGAAAGTACATTACACGTTATTGATACAACTATTGGCACAAATAAATGTACATTTTCTGTTAATGAACAGCAAATGGCGTAATTTTTACTAATTTGTACCAACGTATACAAATTTTTAGATAATTTCCTCGAGCTTGAATATTAAAACTTCTTGATTAAATAGTTTCAACAAGTGGCAAGGTGTTATGAAGTATAATTCTATGAGCCTCACACCACCTTGATTTCATGTCTACATTGTTTATTTAAATGTGTTTCTCCATATCTTGTCAAGAAAGATACCTTACAGCCAGTGATCTTTATCAATCCACACGGCTCACGTTTCACATCTAAATTCAGTTCCATTGCATGCAACAATGTAACCGGGAAAGGGAAAAGGTCTTTAAGATGTTGAATCATATCTTTTAGATTTAATATAAAAACACGATCAATCCGAGGCTGAGGTGTACCATGCAAATGTGGCGAAATAAGCTATCATTATTAAAATACGAACGCGGTGCAAATTATGAAAAACTACAAAAGAATTAAATCCGAAGCTGAGATGTAATACGATCCCAATCCGAGGCTGAGATGTAACTCAAGTCCAATCCGAGGCTGAGAGCAAAATCAGTATAATGAAATGTAAACAGATCCCGATACGAAGGTTAGAAGCTAGTAAAATCCAGTTCACTATGAAGGTTAGAAGGGAATGAATTGAATGTTTGATAAAAATTAAATCGTCAGTCTGTTGTTGTCAGTTAAATGTTTTGAACGTGACTTGTATAATACGAGTCCAATCCGAGGCTGAGAGCAAAATCGGTAAATTCGTCGAGAATAGGCAGTGTATTCTACTAAGAGCATAGATTATCATAAATAGAAATCAGAGAAGAAAGTTTAATCGGAATTCGTTTGCGTTTTGCCACCGTTTGGGGAAAAAGAGGAATTTAGTTCGAATGACCTGTTTGACCTCCCCCGGAAATGATTCTGCATCTCAATGAATATCAATCCGACGCTGCCAATCCGACGCTAGCTTCACTTTGGTAAAGCGCGGGGCTTACAAATCCACTTCTGTTTTTTTGACAGGTTCTGTTTTTTTTTCAAGGAGAAACGATATTCTAGCCTGACCCCGGTTATGTCACATATTTTCTCTTGTAAAATTCAACTCAAAAAGTACGGTGTTTTTTTTTCAATAGAATTCAATCTAAACCATATAATACAGTCCGTGAATAGTTGAATTAACTAAAACCACTTCTGCTTTTTGCCTAGATAGTCATTATTTTGAGAAAAGATCCCGGCAAAAACCGTGTTTTTGAGACATAATTTTGTGGGCTCACATGAGGAGGCGTGAGCTTGAAATCGTAGCTGACCAAATGTTAACATTTCATTTTTCTGATGATTTCATTTGATGAAATGATAACATGCAATTGTTCGTCAGTAAAAACTACTGGCAAAAATCGACTATAATGTTTGGCTGTTAACTCACGTGATATGTGACGTCACATTATATCAGGTGGTCGGATCACACATGACAAGGCTAGCCAATATAACAAGTTTCGTTACCATAGCATTTATTGTAATGACTATTGGCATGAACTTCTGCTATTGGCGAAAATCGATATTTTTTTGTTTGTAAGTCATGTGGTATGTGACGTCATGTCATGTCACGTGGTCAGATGACTGACAACACAAGTCACACCCATCGTACCAAGTTTCGTTACCATAGCATTTATTGTAATGACAATTAGCGAAAATCGACGATGTTTTGTTCGCAAGTTACGTGGTATGTGACGTCACGCCATGTCACTTGGTCTGATGATTGACAACACAAGTCTCACCAATGCTACTAAGTTTCGTTACCATAGCATGCTTCGTTCCCATGTTATGGTCAAGGGGCCACCAGATGCGTGTGGGGCCAGGAGATGCGGGCCATCAGATGTAGGTGGCACGTGCTAACCTTACTTGACAAAATTCTATAATGATTACGCTGTTATGAAAAGCCAACATCGTTATAAGCCACGCTCAAAAATCCCAATCAAATCCTATAATGATTACGCTGTTATCAAAAGCCAATGTAACGTAAAAAAAACAAAGCTCGAAAATCAGATCAAAATCACAATCAAATCCTTCATGTAAAAATCACAAAATCCTATAAGAATTCCAATGCATCGTAATAAACCACGCTCGAAAATAACGTAAAAATCCCAATAAAATCCTATAGAAATTATGCTGTTATCGAAAGCCAACATCGTAATGATAAGCCACGGTCAAAAATCACGTCAAAATTACAATAAAATGCTACAGGAATTAAGCTGTTATCAAAAGCTAATGGATCGTTATAAACCACTTTCGAAAATCAAGTATAAATGATCATCAAATGCATA